CAAAATACCCTCTTGTTCCAAATCACTTTCTTCACTTCTCTGAGAAAAGTTATCAATTTCTTCTTCGCTCTCGAAGTCACAGGAGCTAGCACTTGAGCAGTTTTCTGAAAGTTCTTGTAGCCGATGTTCATTTTCTTCATAAGATATCTTGAAAAATCGAAAAATAAATCATAACATGCTATAAATAACTATAAATCAAAAACTTATTGTCAACACAAAAATGTAACACCGACTACGAGCTCGGGTATGACGTACCCCAACCACGTGTACGCCCCTGTATTTACCGTCGCCGCTGTCGCAAAACTAAACTCGATACTGTACCTCGAACCTCGCACCCTTACCTCCAGCTACTGAAACGACAAAACTCGCATGGCAACAGTAACATTAAATAATCTGCGTTTAAAAACTTCTCGGGTATGACATACCCGACCTCACTCACGCCGGGTTAAGAGTAACGCCAGACAAAAACAGTGGTTAAAGCCAGTTGCTGCTCTACTGTGGGTATGTGATGTATACAACGAAACAGGTGGCGTTAAGAAGAGTTGATAAAATATGTGCATAATACGATATCACTTTAGATCAGTTTATTCGATTGATAGTTTTCAAAATGATAGTTTTATTAAATTATGTGTCGATGTAAAAGTGTAGTCAAGTGAAGTTATTATTGTTCTGTTGTGAAGTTTCTCCCTGTGTGTCAAGATTACTTGAGCGAGCCGGCACTGCCCATATCGAATCTACACACATGTAGAGTTTTGTTTCATCTATCGTGAGCGCTCGCTTCATAACAACAACAGACTGATAACTGTTCAACAAATATCAGACTATACACATATCAACTATAACTCACTGAATCACAGCAGCGTGTTTGGCAAATTACTGTAATAACACTTCACACTTGGACGATTGTGTGCTATTTATGGATGGATATAAGGATGGTTTCGTTTTAATTCCTGCCTCCATGCAATGGAAAATTCTTTATTGTACCTATTCGGATTCATATTCTGACGAATTGTGAAAATACCGCTCAAGTTCGAGTCGACTAGCACATGAGGGGTTCCGTACCATCTTACAAGGTTATCGAGGAATAATATTTACAATACAGTCATTGGGACTTGCAAAATCAGTTTATGTAAATAGCCATGAAAAGTTGTTAATAAGATAATGTTAATTTGACATTATTGTATACGATGAATCTAGTTTTAGTTAAATTGAGATTTAGCAAAGTTACTGCAAGTGGACCATCATGTAATAGTATATTTAGTTTTAGACTTGATTTCGTTTTTAAATTTGTTATATAACTAGATTGACGTCGTCATTTAAATTTCTTATTTTATTTTTATATACGCAAAAATGTGGCTAGTTGCAATGTGCTAATTAAAAATGTGACGTAATGTTTCAATCCAATAAATCATGCACTCTACGCTCTGCGTCACAGTATTATCAAGAAATGGGTATTAATGAAGACGTAATCTTGTGTAGTGATTGCGAAAAAATAGAAATAAATCGCATTGATAAACGGATGGCCTGTGACATATGTTTTAAATCGAACTGGATTGGATATTATTAATTAAGTTGTAAAAGAAGTACTTATCCAATTTATTAGTAATCAGTGTCTAGATAAATTTGCTAGGTAATTGTTAGATTTTCCTTAATCAAAGAGCACCAAATCATTTATTATGATGCGTTTAGTACACCACCTCACATTTTATAGAAAAGCAAAATTATTTTTAAAGACATTGTCCGAGTTTAAAATAAATTTGAAGCTTATATCCGTCCGGATAGCAGAAGATGCATCAGGTTCGAGTCTTGTCTGATACTTGGACCGATTCGTTTTTTTTAGTAATAATAGTAGAAGAATCAAACCTACATCGACATTCACCAAGCTGATAATAGGGGAAACTACCCAATCATTGGCACTCTTCCTATTATTGCCACTTTTGAGTTTAGTTCGAAAAAAACAGGAAACAATAGATTGTAGGAATAATGCTGCCAATTTTTAAATTTCGAAACCATACTAGGTTTTTCTTTTTAATATGTAACGACCTTGAATAATCTATTGTCTCCTTGTTTTTCTGAATTAAACTCAAAAGTGCCAATAATAGGACCAGTGCCAATGATTGGGTGGTTTCCCCTAGTATGAAATATTTTATCATGACTTAAGTATATTACAAAATAAATTAAAAATGGGTTGCTTAAAAAACCCTAGACATGTTTTAAATTAATAAAAAAAAGATTGTTTTTATTTATTGTTAAGCATTTAGCTACTAGATGTTTAAATCTAAAGAAAAGTTTACTAGAGATGGCGCTGCCTTGCAGCTTAAGGCTAGGAAAATTTCAACGCGGCGAATAGGGCCGTGGTAGCATAATGGTCAGTGCATTCGCCCGGATTGCGAAGGGTGCGGGTTCAAGTCCCGTCCGCTGTCTGGTCCACGTGGTTTTTTTTTTTCTAGTAAACTTTTCTTTTGATTTAAAAAATTTTTTTGCTACATCAAGATAATACAAAAATGCTGACTTAATGTATAAAACACAGTGGCGGACTAAGCCCGTCAGAGGTCCGGGGCGCCTAAGCTGAATGAGGCTGGGGCTTTAAAAAAAAAGTAGTTTCTTATGTTTAGGTATTTCGTTAAAATCTGGCAAATGAAATTTAAATTGAATTATTTCGGCTAAATAAACATACATACCTAGAATATGAAATGGATATGGTTGAGAAAATAAAATACGAATTGATCGACAAAAAATACAATAGACAAAATAACTTAAAGATAGTTTTTTATTTTTTGTAACGTGTTATATGTGTTTTCGTGCCTTTAAATTACTGAACTTCTCGATAACTTCTGTGAAAGCAATTTCTTTGGAAAAAAATAAAAAGCACGGCTATACTAACCAGTCGCTCTTGACTTAATGTAGATCGAAGATAATTTTTAATTAGTTTAAGTTTCGAAAAACTCCTCTCGCACGATGCAACCGAGATGCAAATGGTCAAGAAGTATTGAAGTATAAGTGATATACAGGGTAACGATTCACTGAAGTCCCATTTTATTATAAATTGAAGGATTTCTTGGGCGCTCCATTTGGCAGCAACATCCATACTCATATCAGTGGCTTTTAAATGCCAGCGGTACTTTTTTATTTCTTGGGAAACTTGCTCCTTGTTAAATTCACCATAACTTTGTATCAAATTATCAACTGCTACAGCCAGTGTCAGCTGAAGCTTCTAGCATAAAACTTTGTTTCAATAATTGGAAAACATTATTGATTTGTTTCATGGCCCTGTATCGTGTCGATAATTCTTGTATGAATCGGTCTATGCATTCATACATTGACCGACGTATTTCTTCTTCTATTGATAAATCCAGCATTATGAGCTGATTCACCCAGCATCGATCTTTTTACCTTCCTTCTTGCTCGTTTCTCGATGTTGATGTCAATGTCGTTGCATTTTTTATGTCTAAAGTTACAGCATTGTCTACAATGGTGGTGCGTTCGGTCACTAAATACTCATTCACAGCGTTTATTGTGGTGATTCCTGAATCCAGAGTCTTTTTTGGAGACTGCAAATATTGTTGAACTAAATTTACTTCCTCCAGTAAAGAAAGCCAGAATTGTATACAGGTTAGAAAGGTAAAATCACAAACAGCCGGCAGGCTTGTTCCTGATCTTGTATCTAGATTTGCTTTTGTTGGATCTTGAACTTTTTTACATTTTCCAAATACTCGCAAATGATCTAACTCAACTCTAAACTCATTTACTTTTATACCGCAACAAAAATCAAAAACACTATTACACTTTTTAATTAAATTACTTTTAACGGATAAGATCGCGTTTATTACTTTACAATTCGAAAAAAGGCTTATCCGTTCATGAAAATATCGGAACACACTAATAAATATCAACGTAATGAAATTATATTTTTAATGATACCTAACTAAAAATAACTTATATTTTTAACGAGGCCGATGTTTATTTTTCGACGTAAATAGAATCCAGTGAATGTAAATGTAGGCGTACAATAGTGAATTATTTGCACTTCGTTCATTCAGGGATTCCTGAGGAAGTACCCGCTACAAAGACGGGAACCCCCAGCGTATTGGACGCGTTCAGCAAAGTTAAAAAAATATTAGTACCGCGTAAAAAGTCTGGATGGCTGTAGTGTTTTGGTCTTGATGAAATTATATAGGTACTAAGCACATTTTTAAAGTCTTGTTTAGGATTTGATCAGAGGAACGCGGAGGCATTTGGGGACCCCCCAAGATCGGAGGCCCGGGGCGGGCCGCCCTTTCCGCCCCTCTGTTAGTCCCCCACTGATAAAACATATAGAATGTGCAGCCTTTGGGTTACGTAACTGGCATCGACATACTTTTCTATATTTGGCAACCCAGTAGTTCACCCAGGTAAATAACAGACAACTCAAGTGGTTTATACTGTTTTTAGGACAACATTCTCCTATTATCTTGATTTTGCAACATTTAATTAAAAATATTTATTTTTTAATTAATTAAAAATAGTCTGTCCAAGATTTTTTAGGCAACCCATTTTTAATATATAATATAATAAATTCATGATAAAATATATTTCATTCTATTATCAGCTCGGTGAAGGTTGATGTAGGCTCGGATCTTGGACCATAATTGTCTTTGGATTTATAAATCTAAAACTGCTTAAATTAACAATAGGATAAACTACATTTTCGGTGTGCATATAGTGGCTGGTCTTAGGTCACCCTAGGGGATTTAAAAGACATATAAATCACAGATTATAATACTATGTAAGTTAATTGAGAAGAAAAAGACGAATTACGTACTTTTTTTTTTTATTTACCAAGCAGTGTCAATGACGAAACAAAGAAATTGAATCAAAGGACCTAAATTGAACATGTTATCTGGACCTGACTTGGAGGATTTCATGTCGTTCTAAGACTTGTCAGAATGCTTTTGGGATTCTTCTACGGCTGGTTGGTAGGTAGGCCTCTTTTTTAGCTTCAGAAATGTATAAGATCTTACCACAAAGGAATCCCTCGTCCTTAATGAGCCGCCTGGACATTTGCAGCGAGTCCGCGTCATTGCACTTCAGCCACCGGTCTATAACGCCGCGGTCCAGGGTACGTGGCAAGAAGTCATAGCCAATACCTTCCACCTATAAAAAAATGAACCTTTGCATCATCATCATCAGCCTCTTCATGTCCCCACTGCTGGGGCACAAGCCTTCCTTATGGATGGAATAGGGAGATTGGGCCATGACCCACCACAGTGGCCAGTGCGGATTGGCGGGTTCTAACGATTGCAGATGCAATCGGGACCAACGGCTTAACGTGCCTTCCGAAGCACGGAGAAACTCGAGATAGAAATTTTTGGTCACCCATCCAATGACCGACCACTGCGAAAGTTGCTTAACTACAACGATCGCAGCCGAACGCACTAACCACCTGCGCCATCGAGCTCCTCATAAAATACAGTATATATTTCTAGACATACATCTCATACCACGGGGGTCGTAAAAATAATATACTTAGGTACTTTATATCTCGCATTGTGAGTAGACTAGCATAAAAATAAAGTTTTTAATATAATATTTCATTAATTATACTGAATTAACTGTACTATAATACATAAAATGATCAAATAACCTGTAGTGCTCAACCCTGACACTGGCAGAATTGTCCCAGTAGACAACAGCCAGCCTACTGCCATCAAAACCTATATTGTCCCTTCCAAAATACTACTCTTCATTGACTTCGATGTATTGCGTGTAATATATGAAATGATCGAATGAATTACTTACTAAGTCAACGGTCGATAATATAAATTTTAAAGTGTATTGGACCCATTAATATTACATTGCATTCATTAGTCTACGCTAAGGATTCTCGGGTCAAAAGTGATCTGGAGAGGGGGGTTATTATAATCAAAGAAGCAAGGGCGGATCCAGCTTTGGCGCCAGGGGGCGGTCATATAGCCAGCTTTGACGCCAGGGGGGGTCATATAGTCGTGGTATATTAAATATTGAAAGTACTTAAATAAAATTCCCCTGGGTTTGGTCCATCTGTACCCAGCCCAGGGGGGGGGGGGGGGGTCATGACCCCCCTGACCCCCCCCTGAATCCGCCCTTGCAAAGAAGTGTCACTATAACATAACGAATCTTTTCCCACAGAACCATGAAATACAAAACCTAGTATTTCATCGCTGTATAAAAAATAGTCGTACGAGAAATCCTGAAGCAGTCCATGAGGTTTGAGGAAATTATGCTAACATAATAAGTAACATGAGTATATTGCGATTCAACTAAGAATAGGATCGACTGGGCGCCATATTGCGACGTCATAGCTGTCAATTCAAACCAGTTAGGTAGAATGAGTAAAAAAGTTTTTTGATATTTTTTTAAAATGTTTCACTCAGGCTTTATAAATAAATATTATTAAGACTGAGTGACAAAAAAAATTGATCAGAATCTAGTTCTTAAATTCCGCTCATCTCTGCACTACCGTCAGACTAGTCATCGTCATCACTGCTGCTTTTCGCTATAAAATAAAATATCGATTACTGTAGGTTTTAAAAGGATAACTTTATTTAAAATAAAAGCAGTCTTTCAATTATCTTTATTTATAATAAAACTAAAGATTTTATACTTCCCTTTTCCAGTACGCATTTTCTATACGTTACATATGATTTATTTCCTTCTTTTGTTTACAAATGTTTGGTATTTATGCTAAGATTGGCCCAGTGCTAAAAAAAGAGTTCCAAGATTTTTTGCAACCCGTACTTTTAAAGCGACATTTGATAGATGGAGGTTATTGGCTTTCCTATTCTTATTTGAATCGCATAATACAGTACGGGACACTGTAAGTTAACTTTTAAGACTTACATAATACTAACATGAGTGAGGAGTGTAGTCCGGAAGGTTGTACCATTAACTTTTTTAGTTCTTTCAACTCAAATGTTGAGTAACATTAGTGTAGTGAGCTTGTAACGTTCACTTCTTTAGTTTTTTTACTTAAATAATAAGTAACATGAGTGCAGTCCGCGAGTTTGTACCATTAAGTTTTTGTTCTTTTAACTCAAATGATAAATATTACGACTGCAGTCCAGGAGACTGTAACGTTATTTTTTTGACTTAAATAATAGATAATGTGATGGTAGTTCAAGATATTATATCGTTGACTCTTTGGTATTAGTAACCTACAGATACGTTTTATTTACTCTGCCCATGTGTGTGTGTGAGTGTTCAGTGTATTTTCTTGACTATGAAATGAGTGATCTCAGAAAGCGATGGCTGCACTGGCCCTTGGTTCTATTAGGCTGATAATGGGGAAGTACTATATGATAAAATAGTATTAAAAAATCTACAAATGGAAAATTTTATATACTTAGGTACGGATTGAGTATGCCATTAAATCCATTAATCAAAAGTTTTACATGACGACACGCGTAAAATTAGACTAATGCAATTATCATCAGTCATCGCTGTCAGATTACTACTTTATTGATTGTTTTTATGATACGACAATTATGTCAAATACGCTATCTAAATCTGGCGTTAAGGAAATTGAAATAATCGTAGTAGACTTAGATAGTTCCTGTTTATTAGTAGAAGTATAGGTCGCATCAAACTTCGTGAGTTAAATCGGAGACAAATAAAGTTGCGCAGTAGACGTTTTTGTTAATTGCTCAAGAAGTTTTCCGGGATGTATACGAGGATTGATCATGAAAATGTGTATGTAATAGTTTGTTTTGTTCAGCGACTTCAATAAACTTAATTGAAAATGTATTAAAAAACCTTTTGAAAACTACCAAACAGCATTGGCTGTTTTTTTGGTTCATGGCCCCGTCCCACTATTCCATCCATAGGGAATGACTGTTCCCCAGCAATAGAATCGTTAAAAAGACCCATGATTAAAGAACAGTTACTTCAGAAAAGTTTACTAGATAAAAATCCACGCGGACCAGGCAGCAGACGGGACTCGAACCCGCACCCTTCGCTATCCTAAAACTTTTCTTTAGTGTCGTCGCACACAGGCCACACGCCACAGCCACAAACGCCGCCACGAGAAGCTAGAAGCGCGCGACAGCGGCCGACTAAGGTAATGGAGAGAGGAGTGGGAAGTCACACGAGTGGCGTGTGGCGGCGTTTTGTGTCGCCGCATTAAGTGGCCGGTGCGGGCCACAAGAAGCGAGCAACGACGATTTGTAGCGTGTGGCGATCACCGGTGTTACGTGTGTGGCGAGTCCATATAAAATGTATGAAAACTACAAGAAATATGCCGGTGGCAGCGCTTTGTGGTTGTGGTATCAGTAAAAAATTTCAACTGTCCTGTCACGGTTCATGAGATACAGCCTGGTGACAGACGGACAGCGGAGTCTTAGTAATGGAGTCCCGTTTTTAACCTTTGAGTATGGAACCCTAAAAATTTAAAATAAAACCACTATTATTAACGTTACTTTCAACAAACTTACCTTTAAATTTCCGACACTTCGAAATAAATCATTATTACGCCTGCATATTTTAACTACTGAATTAAAATTTACAAGAAGTCCGATCAAAACACCAGTTATTTTGTAAAATTGGGGCGGGGACTACTGCCAAATTAACAAATAGCACATACTTATTTTACAAGCAAAGTAGATTTTATTTAAAACACCGAAAACTAGTATATCTTCCTATAGCTATGAAAGGCGAGAACATTATTGTCTTTAGGGTAACCTTTTTGATCAAGTTTACCTTGTAGGTATGTCTTTTTATCTTTAGCTAATTCTTGTCTTATAAAAGGAAATAATATAGTCTATTTCTGGCATCAATCCAGAGAGTTAGTTCCTTAACCCTTCTGTAATTTTAAACATACCTTCTTAGTTACATCATATCACATATTAATAAGATATTTTAAACAAATCTATATGTTTTTAAATTGATCTGTAGAATAGGCAGAGGCAGTTTATCTCAAGCAATAACAGCGTTCACATTCATCATACTTGCAAATATAATGTATGTACGATATTTTTAAAGGATTTGCGATTATAATTCAGAACTTGAGTGAGTTTACATTACGCTTTATCGCACTAGTTTTGCATTGACCGGCGTCATGTTATGCTAATTTATATCCTAACATAAACATGGTTACATACAATATGTATATCTAAAACATGCAAATAATATTTAGCATGATGTAATATATCTGTTAAATTAAATGTTGATTAGAGACATCGACTTGGTTATGGCTCGTGATGTTAGTTTGGATATTTATCAGAATCTACATACTTCTTATAATGCTTAATATAACATTATCAATTACAATTCATATCATATATGTAAATATTTTTTATACAAAAAAAAATATAAAATTATGTTACTTATTCTTTGTACTTTTAGACTATCCTTTGATTTAGTTTAATATACTGTATTTTATCAGTAATTATTTAATTTTATGAAATTTTTGAACCCTAGAGATATTTCAATAATACTGAATCGATAAGTTAATTCCTCAATAGCGTTATAATGGAGAAATCTCATTAGTAACATAATTGTTTCCTACGATAATTGATTGTGTGTGGCATTTTATTATTATCACTTTATGTAGGTATGTTTAATGTATGACACATATCTATAACTGGGCCACTACGAAGCATATTTATTATGAATCAAAATGGTTGGCTTTTTATTTTCTGTTGTAATCACTTCGAGTCCCATCTTACCTTTTAACCAAACAGATGAGAACGGGCATTTTCAATAATAACTGTTTATAGATAGCTAACTGATAGAAAACTGTTTAGCTTTCAGTTTCTAGCTGAGAATATCGCCGCTCCTATTTCTTTGGTATATCTTTTCATTAACGCTATAGTAGATAACGTAAAGATTATTAGCTTATAATATAGCTTTCGATTGTTCTACTTATTATATTCAAAACCGCGTTCGAAACATAGAAATTCTAAAAATTTCGAAAAATTCAAAGTAACTGATGTTTTGATCGGACTTCTTCTTGTAAATTTTAATTCAGTAGTTAGAATATTCAGGCGTAATAATTATTTATTTCGAAGTGCCGGAAATTGAAAGGTAAGTTTGTTGAAAATAACGTTAATAATAGTGGATTTATTTTAAATTTTTAGGGTTCTGTACTCAAAAGTTAAAAACGGGACTCTATTACTGAGACTCCGCTGTGTCTGTCACCAGATCTCATGAACCGTGATAGGCCAGTTGAAATTTTTACTGATAATGTATTTCTGTTGCCGCTATAAAAAGTAAAAACAAAATATAATAATAAATATTCAAGGAGAGCTCTCATACAACAAACGTGTTTTTTTCCGTTTATGCTCTATATTATAACGACAACAGATAGACACTTCAAATAGTCACAGAATATTTTGTTATATGTATATTCAATTTAAAAATAATTAAAATAAATATTTGAGGGGGGCTCCCATACAACAGACGATAGATTTTTTGCCGTTTTTTGCTCTATATCATAATATATTGTCTAATGTTGTATAGATAATAGTGCGGAACCCTTCGTGCGCTGCGTAAGTTCAATGTATAACTCGCACAATAAAGAAACAAATTGAAAATGGCGACGCTACATAGATATTCTGTCCCTTTCGCACATAATTCCTGACAGGATGTTACAGAGATGGCCCGGATTATAACACGCGCTAGCATTTCTAGAAATAGGTATGCATACGTACGATATAAACTGGATGGCTGTTGTGGTGCGTAGGCTCCGTAGTTTATAATTGAGTTTGAGGGGGTTTACCGGTTTGGTAGCATTTTTAAAGCGTAGCGGGTGCACCTGAGGCAATGACTGCGGATGTGCAATGTCTCTGCGCGGCAACCGATACATAAACACAGAATGGATTACGACGAAGGAAATACTCTTGTTTGTTTTATTACTTTAGCGAAAACTGAAATCAGATAGGTACATATAACAAAGAATTTTTAAGGACCTATTATTAACTAATCAAGTGCAAGAGAGAGACTGCTACTTATATGTTGTTCTTTTAGTTCATCTGTTTAAAATTTGCTTTAACCATTTTGCTTGCAGTCTTGTACAAATGTCTTGCCATATTTGCTTTTACTTTTCTCTCATTGTACGATCCCATTCAACTGAAAAATTCTCAATTTATCTTATGAAGTAACTAAGTCTGTATCAAAGTGCGAATGTTTCAATGAATGCAATGACGCGGTTTCACTAGTCACCGTCAGGGAGCAGAGTGGGCTCTTTGTACCTATATCATCATCATCATCATCATCAGCCTCTTAACGTCCCCACTGCTGGGGCACAGGCCTTCCCTATGGATGGAATAGCGAGATTGGGCCTTGACCCACCACGCAGGCCCAGTGCGGATCGGCGGGTGCTAACGACTGCAGATGCAAGACCAACGGCTTAACGTGCCTTCCGAAGCACGTAGGAACTCGAGATAGAAATTTTTGGTCAAGCATCCAATGACCGACCATTGCGAAAGTTGCTTAACTACAACGATTGCAGCCGAACGCGCTAATCACCTGCGCCATCGAGCTCCTTTGTACCTACGCGAGTGTATAAAATTAAGAGAGTTATAGGGCACAATTTTTCCACTCCAATTGGAGCGCCCGTCTGGGTAAGCTGGAGGTTGTTTAAGTCTGGGTAAGCTTACAGTAGACTACAGTAAAATAGCAGTAACTTAGTGGCGTTGTGTTTCTGTTTGTGAGTAAGGTAGCAGGGCTCCGCGGGGTAGGGGATTGGGTTCGGATCGGCAAGGGAGGATGGCTGGAGCGGCACACCTGCGCATCATCTATCTTCGCGACTGGACTCCACTAACACTTAACATCGGGTGGGGTGGGATAATTTGTTGCGCCGGTAATCCGCTGAGCACCAAATCCGCTTTGATAACGCCAGTATGATGGGGCTCTAAACCAAAATTTAGGTATGTGCGGGGTGACCACATGTATATCCTAATTTCATAGTGTACCAGGCGCGTTAAAACAAACGCGTATAAAATCGCCGCACCCAAATGCTTCCGTTCTCTAATTATGGAGCACAGATTATGGAGTGTGTTTTGCAGGTTTGCTTGTGTTGGATTGGTGTATGTGTGTGTATGTATGTGTAGTGTATCTGTTTCACGCTTTACTGCGGGAAGTGAGAGGGATAGACTGCTGTCACAGCGGTGACACTCTGTGTACGTGAGAGTTCCAGCGTCAGTGACCTTGAGCAGGAGCGTGTATGCGCTAGGGTTGAACTTGGAATTTAGACTTGTGCCAATGAATATTTATGCATAGTAAGTTATTAAATGTAAACTGATTCAAGGATACTGGGGTAAATAATGAAGGATAGGTTTGATTTTATAATCAATTTTTAATCTTTTAATGTAGGTACTATAACAAATTGCTAACTTTTATATGTTTTCTCCTTTTTCGATTCGTTTTATAATTCTTATTATTATCTAAATAATAATAAGATTGCGTAGCGTAGTCAGTCTGTGCGTGCAATGCAGTGCAACGCTATTATTTTACTATTTCGCTACTGCCATCCCTTCGGTCGAGGCAGTCGGCGACTGCCGTCTCCACGCCCCGCGCGCCGCGCAACGCCCCCGCGCACCTCCAGACACCCACACATAGCCGCGGGCGATTTTACGAGCACACATGCTTAATTGTCGCTTCTTTTCGCGTAGTGTATATATTCTGTGCTGCTGTCGAGTTTGCGGGTGGCGGATGCGATTAGTCGTGAGAAGTGCCGGCATTACAGGCCCTGCCAGAATAACAGCGCTGCTGTGACACGTTTTGTAGCGTGTTGCGGCAGCATTATGCTGAGGCAGGGTCCTGATTGACCACAAAGGATAATGTAATTAATCTGTTTTTTTTTTCATTACCTATAATTTTCAAAATGTTATTCTTTTTTAATGTTTTTTTATGATGTAATGTGGTCAATAAATTGTTTCTCTCTCTCTCTTCAGAATTCTTTAGGCAGTGTCAGGTTAAAATCACGAGAGGACTGCCAAAACCACTTGTCGCGGTTTTTAAACAGAACCCCCAAAATTTCTATAGCTATGGGATCATGCCCTACCTACAAGATGATAAAAAATTATGGAACAAAATCATTTGAATTTTCATATAAAATGCGAAGAAACTTTTTCCCCAACCTAATACATCCATATTTAGTTTAATTATTTTCAATAAAAATATCATAAGAAGCCATAGCATAGCAATAATTTGTTAGCCAAAAAATAATATTAGGTACATATATGCATCTGATTGTCCATACTCTGAACATGACGCACAACGTCCTGCGTTTTCGTAAACACGCAATTTGGTAGACGAAAAGTCCAACCAATATTAAAACTTCCATGAATATAATATAAACAGAGATTATGTACCTACCTCGTAATACTGGACGTCGGTCTTGTTCCCCTCAACGGGCTCAGCCAGTATGGACCCGAGTGGATCGATAGCGACCACAATGCAGTTGGGGCAGCGCTCCTTGATCTTGTGTCCGACACCAGATACGGTGCCACTGGTTCCGGCGCCTATGACCACCATATCCACATCATCATCAAGGGACCACAGGATTTCTTCAGCCGTGGTATCGTAGTGGGCGAGCGGGTTGCAAGGATTGTTGTACTGTGATTTAAAAAAGCTTTGCAATTTATATATCTATTTAAGAGTGTGCGCTGTGTCAAGCGGGGCACGGAGCAGACGTCCATTTCAAAACCATTTTACAAACCAGTTTTGAAAGAAGAATTTTATAACTTTTTATGACACTGGTTTTAAAGACAGAAATATTCTTCTCATTTGGCAGACTGTTTTTAAATATGGTTTCAAGGCTAAAGGGGAATTGCAGATCATTAGGCAGTACAAAAGCAGCAATTTTAATAGAATGAATACAAAAAGGACTCTGTAGAGTACTGTAATTGAAAGATGATTTTTTGTAAATAATACCAATCAACAAGAGATTATTATATTAGACAAGATTCTGCCCTGTATGAAACTGAATAAACAAGTCCTCTGCCAATATAATAATACATATTAAATAGGGGCCACCTGCAACTTCATACACATTAACCTTTCGGTTTTAGAGAATCCCTCAGAAACCTTACATTTTTTCATGACAAAAAGTATCATGTCATATGTGTGCCAAAATCATCATCATCCAAATCCGTTCTGCTGTATTTGTATGATTGAGTAACAAACATTCAAACTATCATATTTGTAATATAAATATATAATTACTTATATATACGTATATTATATTAATTACATTTCTCATCGACTCTACTGGCTTACTACATCTTCTTTTCTGTTTAGCTTACCTATACCGCGAAGGTTGTCTGGAAGAGATCACTTGTAGCGATAAGACCGCTTTTGCCCATATTATTGTTATTAATGTAATGTTTGTACCTATGTCCTTTTGTATGTGAGCAATAAAGTGTTTATTATTATTTGTAATATTATTAGGACTTACCTGATCTAAAACAACCGCATTAGGTATTTCCTTGGAAAGCCTTTGTGCAACCATGATGTTGCTATCAGGATCACTAGATGCAGCTTCTGTGGGTGTTCTTACTATTTCTGCTCCCAATGCCAGAAGTGTGTTTACTTTCTCGTCAGACATTTTCTCAGGAAGAACTATTATACACCTGTAGCCTGGATAATAGACAGTATGAATGAAATATTAATTACCAGTATTTTAATTTAAAACAATAAAATATCAATTTTATTGTAGAATGATTGTATTGATACTATAAATGACAATTTTATGAAAAATTCAATGATGAATGTATGGACAGTAGTGGATTTGTGGTTGCTAATTATTTTATTTACCTTTTACGGCTGAAGCCAATGCTAAACCAATGCCAGTGTTTCCAGATGTTGGTTCAATAATTACAGATTTGCCTGGTTTCAGAATACCTCTATTTTCAGCGTCTAATACCATTCGGTAAGCAATACGGTCTTTCACGGAGCCACCAGGGTTTAAAAATTCACATTTTGCATCTAAAAAGTTACAATAATTTTAGAACTATTACTTTTTTACTATAATATAAAATTACTAAAATTCTGCTATATTATGCTACATTTTGAGTATGTTGTGTTAATAATTAATATAATGCTTACACATTTCACACTGGATTCCTTCATCTTTGGGAATTTTTGAAAGTTTTACAAGTGGTGTGTTTCCAATTGCATGAAGAATGTCTGGTTGAATCTTCTGACGACGATCCCTATTCAAAGAAATTATGTACACTGTTAACCCTCTTTATGAAATCAAATTTTCAAATGGTAGGTAGGTACTTAAAAGGAACATTTATAAAAATATTTATTGCACAAAGAAATATACAAAATTCTTTTCCAGTCAAGTGGAGCGTATAGCTTAATTTAATTATTTTTAAGTCTACAGGATCAAGTTCTTTTGTTTAAGAATGTAAATAAAATAATTTTTATTTGTTTATGAATACGAAGAAAAATATCTTCATTTGTTTATGAATGAAAACATAAAGAAGTTGTTTCATCTAATCATTGACTTAGATGAACTGAAGATGTAAAATGCAAATGTCCTAATATCATGGACGATATCTCAGATTTTAAAGTATACAGAAAACTAATCATTTCGGCTGGTTATTTTAAACCAACTCAAAGATTAAAAAATTGAATGCAAAGGTTAAAAAAATTAAATACTTACAGAGGCTTCACAATATGTGGCATTTCTTTGAGATTAAAATAATTTTCACAGTCACTTTGGCCCCCATTTTCCACATGGTCAGTCATTTTCCAACAGATCCGGCAAAAGCACGCTGCACAAAGTTTTGTAAATATGTCAATGAAAGTCAATAAATCAATGAAAGGTAATAAAGTAGTTTCGTTTTATGTATGATATTGTCTTCAAAACTCTTCTCTTATAATTTCATATAGTCAGCTTTTATTTGAAATAGGCAGATAAGTTAAAATACATTAATGTTCAAGCTCAGGCACGCACGCCACGGCCGTCAACATCTGAATGAAAAAAAAATATTGCGATGCGAATGCGAATGAAGAGAAATGAATGGAAATATGAGTGAGAGAGAATGACCATTGAAGAATGAATGAGAAACTGAGTTTAAATATTGAATGATTGTGCCGGTGTTGCTTCCTTATCACCAAATACTGTATGTAGAAACTCTAGTTCTATAGTATTTGCTTAAACCTTGACGATCGGGTAGTGCAATAGCTGTTAGGCAGTAAGGGAACTCGTCGACGCCAAAGAGAACTTTAATTGTAAATATACTGAGAACGTACGGACTTTTTGTAGTTCAATTACCTAGTTTATTGGCGCGATGGCATCTAATGAAGAGAGAGGAGTGTTATTGAATTTTAATTAAGATCTATAAATTTTGTGGCATAAAGAAATCAAAAACTATTTAAATAAGGCACATATTGAAAAAAATGGGTGCGTGTACTTATGTAGGCGCGTGAGAAGTTATCCTTCTTTGGCACCGTTTAAAATTAGTTTTTAATTGCATGCAAATAATTAATTACAATAAATTAATAAAAAGTCTGGAAAAGGACGAAGTCAATAAAGTTCAGTTTTAATTAGAAAAAATAAATAAATAATCAAAATATTCAATTAAAATCGCTACTGAATATAATTTATTACAACATATGTGATTTGCACTTGTATGAAACTCAAACACGTATTCCGAATATACAAACTAGAAACATGTGGATAAATATTATAAATATGAATACCTATAACTGTTACTTTATTACAAAAAAAAAAAACGGGTGCGTGTACTTATGTAGGCGCGTGACAAGTTATCCTTCTTTGGCATCGTTTAAAATTAGTTTTTAATTGCATGCAAATAATTAATTACAATAAATTAATAAAAAGTCTGGAAAAGGACGAAGTCAATAAAGTTCAGTTTTAATTTGAAAAAATAAATAAATAATCAAAATATTCAATTAAAATCGCTACTGAATATAATTTATTAGAACATATGTGATTTGCACTTGTATGAAACTCAAACACGTATTCCGAATATACAAACTAGAAACATGTGGATAAATATTATAAATATGAATACCTATAACTGTTACTTTATTACAAAAAATAAAGATGTGGTTTTTGGTTCTACTACACCAATGGTCAAGAGATGGCGCTGTAGTCTCCTGAATCGCGCTTTGGTTCCGTTGTTCCAGATTAATAAATACTTTTGATAGGCCTTCACAATACAATCGTTAGCACCCACAAAATAGATTCTATTTCTATTTTGCTGGTAGATTTTCTTAATGTGCGGTAAACACAAAAGTCGCTAAAGCGACCAACCTCAAGCTGTTAATTTTTTGTGTTACAGTGATGCGCGCGCATCTTAAAATTTCACTCTCATAATTTATTTATAACGCGCCTAAAGAAGTATAACTTCAATAAAGATGTGGTTTTTGGTTCTACTACACCAATGGTCAAGAGATGGCGCTTTAGTCTCCTGAATCGCGCTTTGGTTCCGTTGTTCCAGATTGATAAATACTTTTTGTTACTTTATTACAAAAAATAAAGATGTGGTTTTTGGTTCTACTACACCAATGGTCAAGAGATGGCGCTGTAGTCTCCTGAATCGCGCTTTGGTTCCGTTGTTCCAGATTAATAAATACTTTTGATAGGCCTTCACAATGCAGTCGTTAGCACCCACTAATTAGAGATTCTATTTCTATTTTGTTTGGTAGATTTTCTTAATGTGCGGTAAACTCAAAATTAAGGCATGAAGTTGGTCGCTAAAGCGACCAACTTCATGCTGTTAAAATTTTGTGTTACAGTGATGCGCGCGCATCTTAAAATTTCACTCTCATAATATTTTCATAACGCGCCTAAAGAAGTATAACTTCAATAATCAGCGAAAAATAGTAATTCAAACTCGAACAAAATACAATTGGTGACCTAATCTAACCTTTAGGTTACCAATTGTATTTATTTATGTGAGAATTTTAAAAAAATGATGATCATATACATATTTCCCTTTAAATATAGAGAAAAATGCAGAAGGATTTAGAGAAGTTCATAAAAAAAATATCAATATCCAGTGGTGCCATATCGACGACGTTTAATCGAGACGACTTTTAATTTCAGAGTTAGTTAGGATCCGAATGGTCCGATTGATAGGGCGGCGTAATAATGAGGGTTTTTTTGAATGACGGGAGTCAGGTGAGGCAGAACTGAGGCGGAAGGTCTACTCATCCGTCAAATCCATTGAACAACGCAACCGACGCGTCCAGTTCCCTCTGCCGATTTTCCCCCGCTGTGGGGCCAGCCTAAAAACAAAACTAGCTGCGGCGTCGGATATTTCACTAGACTGAGTTAAGTCGCGCGAGTGTATGTTAGAGATTAAAAAAAACAAGCCAAGTGCGAGTCGTAATCGCGCGCTGAGGGTTCCGTACAAACTCAATTTAATACCTCTACGCGTTCATGAGAAAAGAGGTAGTAACTTTAAAATTTCCAAAAATATTTTTAATTTACGGTTTTCGCAATTTTTCCTTTATCTGTACTATTTGACGTAACTTCGTATCAAATTTAAAGATTGTAAGTTCACGGGAAATACCCTGTAGGTTTTGTTTCCCGTGCGAGTTTCGAAAATTTGCTTTTATTTTGCGGCATAAACGGCTGTATCTTTTGATTGCTTTGGCTTAGAAGTCTGATTTTTTCACAGCTCCAAAGGACAGTAGACATGAGTATTAGATATGAATTTCAGTTTGATACCTCCACTCCACCCTTCAGGGGCGGTTTATCACTAGGCCCGCTAGGCCCGAGCCTAGGGCGCCGTGGCAGAAGGGGGCGCCACGGGCCGATAAATTTGAAAGATTAAAAGCGAGAAAGCGAACGTTTTAATCGGGTCCACTCAAACGTCAATATCGCCAATATAAAATATATATGTGCTCCATTTCTACCCACAAACCTACATAAAATATGTATGATTGAAATTCTGTTTCCGTTAAATTATTTTTGAAATACACTCCCGCTCAAAAGTATGGGTTCACTTCTCGAAATTTTCAGCTTCGGTATAAGTTCCATATCTTGGTGGAAAAAGGTCGTAAGAGAATTTAATGAGCACCGTTTTGAAGGGGACAGTTTTAGCTTCACTTTGCCTCTTTTTATAATTTTTTCAATTTTTTTTATAGTCCCCACGCGCTTTTGAACATGGCAGTTTTTCGATGTTTTTTTGCCCTCTGGAAACGGGCTGTCTGGCTGGTAAAAAATTTTCCTTGCAATTTCATTCATCGCAGTATCAAAGAGGATATTAAACACTGCATTTTTGTTTTTGAAAAAGTATCGTGCGATTTTTTTTACCAAAAATATTCTAATTTTTGACAAAAATTGATAATTTTATTCAATTCGGCGTATCTTGAAAACGGCGGGTGATCGAAGAAAATAGCAAGGGGGTGAAAAGTTGCAATAGATCATGATGGATCTTGTAGATTTATTTCAGAATTTTTTTCCGACATTTGTTTTTTCATACTCTTGCAGTCGAAATGATTTAAATTTTCTCATGATTTTTTCTTTTTTTTAGACGGCGCAGGCATTTCTTTTATTGGTTTTATAACCATCTTGACGTAATTTTTACTAAAAATCAAATTTCGCACAATTTTTTGTACGTTTTTTTCATTTAAAAAAATTAATTTTTAGTTCAAATTACGTCAAGATGAAGATGAAACCAATAAAAGCAATGCCTCAGCCGTTTAGAAAAAAGAAAGAATCATGGGAAAATTAAAATCATTTCGACTCCACGAGTATGGAAAAACAAATGTCGGAAAAAAAATCTGAAATAAATCTACCATGTCCATCATGATCTATTGCAACTTTTCACCCTCTTGATATTTTCTTCGATCACCCGCCGTTTTCAAGATACGCCGAATTGAATAAAATTATCAATTTTTGTCAAAAATTAGAATATTTTTGGTAAAAAAAATCGCACGATACTTTTTCAAAAACGAAAATGCAGTGTTTAATATCCTCTTTCAAACTGCGATGGATAAAATTGCAAGGAACATTTTTTAACAGCCAGACAGCCCGTTTTCAGAGGACAAAAAAACATCGAAAAACTGCCATGTTCAAAAGCGCGTGGGGACTATAAAAAAAATTGTAAAAAATTATAAAAAATGGCAAAGTGAAGCTAAAACTGTCCCCTTCAAAACGGTGCTCATTAAATTCTCTTACGACCTTTTTCCACCAAGATATGGAACTTATACCGAAGCTGAAAATTTCGAGACGTGAACCCATACTTTTGAGCGGGAGTGTATAAAAATCATTTATTCTAGCCTGTGCTTTTTCAACTATTTTATGGAGAGGGGAGAGGAGAGGGGGCGCTAATTTCGTCAGGCCTAGGGCGCCCGTTTTCGTAAACCGCCCCTGCCACCCTTTCCTGAGAAAAACGGTCTTGACCTACGGACGGACGGACGGGCAACAAAGTGATCCTATAAGGGTTTCGTTTTTTCCTTTTGAGCTACGGAACTCCAAAAATGCCAAAATGTTATGTAATTTGCTGTATAACTTATCTGAAATAATAAACTTACAAAAGGATGGTATTAAATTTCACATGTAAGTAGAATTATTAACATATTATTTCTATTTCACTATTTTAAACAGAAAATTCATAATTATCCTTTTGTTATGTTTCAATCGTCGGACTTGTTTGACAAAACAATCGACTACAAATTCAAGATCTGTCAATAAAAAACAGCGAGTGTGCTTTTGACCACACGACTGAAGTGAAACTTCGTTAGCTCCGATGATCTGATAAATCATAAACTTAACCTGAAGATTTGTTGATAGAAAAAATCACCCATCTGCGCTGGGTCTGTTATCACTCCCCAATCCGCACTGGGTCCATTATCACCCACCAATCCGCACTGCGTCCGTTATCACCCACCAATACGGACTTGGTCCGTTATTATCCACCAATCCGCACTGGGTCCGTTATCACCCACCAATCCGCGGTGGGTCCGTTATCACCCTCCAATCCCCAC